AACATCATGATATGAAGAAAAATCATCACTAACTGTAATCATCTTTACAACACGATTGTTTCAGCTTAAATAAATCATTAATTTTTGAAATTCTAGAATTTGTTATATGATTTGTAGTTGATTTAAAAGTGTTGAATAAATAAAATGTGCATAAATATTAGTTTTCCTTTCTATATCACACATCATTACCTTTTCTTAAAGTTGTTGAAGTAAATCATCAGTAATCTGTTAATTACTTTAAAAAAAGCTAAGCTTTATTATTATTAAAGCTTTATTGTTTTATATATGTAACATTAATATCATATTAACGAAAGTTTTTCTAGGAAATGACAACATTGTATAACTCCATAGCAAAAGCGACCATGACTCGGATTATTTATGAATTTAGAAAATATTTAAAAAACACATAGCCATCATTGTTGAAGTATGTATTTAAAGGTGTTGTTTTATTTTGCGAAACTAGTGTATTCGCATTTATTATAGAAATAAAAATGAAATTTGTTTTCCTCATTATTTCTATAGGCGTTGCCTGCGAAGCTTTATCAGGTAACATACAAAAATGTTTGTATATTTACTTCAAGCTAACATATTTTTTAAACTTAAGCCTCCCATCGTCATCATATTAAGAAACATCACCATCAACTTCGTGACGGTGACCCCACATCGACTGAAATTTCTTCTGATTCTCCCACTGAAACTACAACTTCACAAATTTATCCACCTATATTAGGACCCGGACCCGTTCTTTTATGCCATTGTGGAGTTATTTGTAGAATTGAACCTCTTCCAATTGAAATCACTGAAACGACTGAAACAATTTATACAGCTCCAACAGAAACTTCTCAGAGAAAACGACATATGTTTCATAATAAGAAGATTTTCAATGCTCCTAATAAAAAACATCATGCTGTTAGAAATGGTAAAGGTATAAATAATTTTGAATAATAATTTGTGATAAACTAGTTGTTTAAATGATTTTTTTGTAGATATAAAGAAAAGATATGTTCGACATTATTGTTTTTGCCGTCGCTGTCCTAAATCGACTACAACAAAACAACCAGATGTATCAACAATTTCGCAAGAACCAACAGTGGTAAATCCTGGACCAAGTTATTTTATTTAATTATTTATTAAATGAATCTACGTGATAAAAAAACATCAAACATCATTGAAATGTTATTGATTTATTGTATTAAATCTTCAAAATAAAGATTAAAGATTTTCTTAGCCACAATCACTGCATTTCTTTTCCTTTATTTAAACTTACTCAATCAACAATAAATAGAGATGAATACACAAATTATATATCAACAAATTAACCTTGACCATTTTTTGGCATATGCACCATAATCCTAAAGAATTTTAAAAATTCAAACAATGTAACATCGTTAAGGTGTTCATTGAAAGAAAAATTAAAATAATTGTTTGTTATAATTAACAGGTTCTTTACAATTTTGAAACTTCAACGAAAATATTATTATTTACTATTGACACAAAATTTCCAAAAATAAATAAACGCATTGAAGCATGACTATTTTCCTTAGTGGCTATATTTCTTGCTTGTTTCTTATTAACGATTATTTTAATATAGGAAAAACCTTGCTAACTAGTGTAAAGGGAAACAAAAATTGTTTTAAACAACGACATCCATCAAATTATAAGAACGGGCGATGCTGATATCAGCTATATATGGAATGTATTCGATTACAAAAGTTAATCAATCAATGTTTGATGCAAGAATTCTATAAAAAAATGGAAGGAGTTGNTCTAGTGTATTCGTATTTATTATAGAAATAAAAATGAAATTTGTTTTCCTCATTATTTCTTTAGGCGTTGTCTGCGAAGCTTTTTCAGGTAAAATAAAAAAAATGTTTACTTCAAGCTAACATATTTTTTAAACTTAAGCCTCCCATCGTCATCATATTAAGAAACATCACCATCAACTTCGTGACGGTGACCCCACATCGACTGAAATTTCTTCTGATTCTCCCACTGAAACTACAACTTCACAAATTTATCCACCTATATTAGGACCAGGACCCGTTCTTTTATGCCATTGTGGAGTTATTTGTAGAATTGAACCTGTTCCAATTGAAATAACTGAAACGACTGAAACAATTTACACAGCTCCAACAGAAACTTCTCAGAGAAAACGACATATGTTTCATAATAAGAAGATTTTCAATGCTGCTAATAAAAAACATCATCATGCTGTTAGAAATGGTAAATGTATAAATAATTTTGAATAATAATTTGTGATAAACTAGTTGTTTAAATGATTTTTTTATAGATATAAAGAAAAGATATGTTCGACATTATTGTTTTTGCCGTCGCTGTCCTAAATCAACTACAACAAAACAACCAGATGTATCAACAATTTCACAAGAACCAACAGTGGTAAATCCTGGACCAAGTTATTTTATTTAATTATTTATTAAATGAATCTACGTGATAAAAAAACATCAAACATCATTGAAATGTTATTGATTTATTGTATTAAATCTTCAAAATAAAGATTAAAGATTTTCTTAGCCACAATCACTGCATTTCTTTTTATTTATTTAAGCTTACTCAATCAACAATAAATAGAGGTGAATACACAAATTATATATCAACAAATTAACCTTGACCATTTTTTGGCATATGCACCATAATCCTAAAGAATTTAAAAAATTCAAACAATGTACCATCGTTAAGGTGTTCATTGAAAGAAAAATTAAAATAATTGTTTGTTATAATTAACAGGTTCTTTACAATTTTGAAACTTCAACGAAAATATTATTATTTACTATTGACACAAAATTTCCAAAAATAAATAAACGCATTGAAGCATGACTATTTTCCTTAGTGGCTATATTTCTTGCTTGTTTCTTATTAACGATTATTTTAATATAGGAAAAACCTTGCTAACTAGTGTAAAGGGAAACAAAAATTGTTTTAAACAACGACATCCATCAAATTATAAGAACGGGCGATGCTGATATCAGCTATATATGGAATGTATTCGATTACAAAAGTTAATCAATCAATGTTTGATGCAAGAATTCTATAAAAAAATGGAAGGAGTTGATCATGGAACACTAGAAGTAAATACTAAACGTTCAAGATGAACCAAAATGGAGATAATGGGAACGAAAAGTATTTAATTTGATCCTGGATTGAAATCATACTAGAAATATATGGTGGAAATGTTTCATTTAAAAAAAAACAATTTCTGTCATTGCCAAATAGCGATGCGGCATTCATACTAAGAAACCCGAAGAAGTAGAGTAAGAGGTATTCTTAACTTAGAGTCACCCAAATATCAATCCTAGCTGCACGTGCTACTCATCGATAGGAGGCGAAAAATAAAGTGTGATTTACTATTTCGCTACTTTAATAGGGAAAGAAGTAGTGATATTGTAGCAAATACAAATTAGAAGTAATGGGAATATCAGAAACCAAAAGAAAACTGGAATGATATTACAGAAATTTGATAAGGGATGTATACTTAGATTTGGGGTAACATCAGTAGAGAGCAGAATAATGGATAAAGTAGGAATAATCCTAATAATAGTCGCAGTCTTAGAATACTGAAGAAGAACTACAACGGTTAACATTTGCCATACTAGTAATAATAAAGTGTTAAAGTTTGCACACCCGTCAGGATGTACGTACGTTATAATAAATTAAAAATTTAATTTTTAAGTAGGTATGGTTAATTAAGTCAATAAATTCGTGTATTCTGTATTCCAAACTTGTGCCACCAATCGAATGGAATCCAACAAAGACAATACTTTAGCAACGCTGCATCCGACGCTTTCAGATAGACGGGGCAATGTGCTTTGATACTTCGAATTACTCTTCCCTTTGATAGGTTGTAATATTTATATTTTTCAAATGTAACACATTTTGGTGAGCATCACAATTGTTCACTTCATCCCATAAGGACAGTTCTCTTTGAAAAATAGTTGGTGTCATCTATTCTTAGAAGTGGACCTGTGCATCTGTGTCAACTTATTAGACCTTACAGCAGCGACGAGTCAGTTACATTTTAACAAATTGCTCAGGAGGCACAAAAAACTTTTCCATAACAATACCCTAAGTCTTTTGCAATTAGTTTGTTTTTCTATTAGGTATAATCAAAGTTTCACACCGATTAAAATCATTTTTAGCAAACTTAAACTTTCAAAAATTTGTTTATTCATAATTATTATGTAATGGAACTACTTCGTTGTTGCTGCCAATTTACAAAAAAAAAACTACTTTATTAGTATTTTATAGATGTTGAAACACATTTACAAAACCAATAATTTATTTAAACAGTTATTCCTTTGTGTCATCGTCATATCAATGTCATCATGATTTTCTACCAAATTATCAGATTTTAAAGATCTGTAAAATGATAAATCATTTTCGGGTACATACTTATTTGCTAATGTCATTACATTGTTTAATTTTTGAAATTTTAATGGTACTGGTGTAGAATATGTTGCTGCTGAAGGTTCTAAAAGGATGTGTCCATTAGTTCTGGCTATTTGGAAATCCTTAAGAAACAGTAAACTAGCAGATATTGAACATTGGGTTCCTTTTACTTGAGTTTTGACATAGTAAATTTCCCCTTTTCCTTATTAGACGTCGTTTTCTTGACATATTGTGTATAATGATCAATGAATATTGGTGCAGATAGTAACTTAGTTATCCAATATGAGAAGCTAGAATTTGTACTTCTTTCTAGATATTCCATGAAATTCACAAAATGTGTTGTTGCATACTTTAAGTTTAGTTGTTCCGATTCGTATTTATAAAGAAATGAAAAATATTTAAAATTTTAGAACACTTACTATAAGTAATAGAAGATGAGTATTTAAAAAAAGATATGAACTTACAACCTAAACGTTAGATATACTGCGACGTTTTCCAGTACTTGTCTTACTCCGTTTACGTTTTATCTCGTTACATGTTACCATTCCACACA